GAATGGTTTCATTTTTCAAAAGAAAATTTTAATTTTATTTGTTTGATATATATTTTGTATGGACAATTGACACCACATTCACTTTTCACTGAACTTCATACTTGACGAATACATGTAAATGTATTATTATATAGCAGCTGTCCACACGGATACATCGCTCACTCAAGTAGGAGAGAGACAGATGTCGAACGCTGCCGACCGCGGAGGCCGATTGTGCCTCTTTATCGCTCGTTGCACGCTCTCGCTTGCACTTCAAGCCTTAAATGGAACGCCTCAATGAGTCATATTGTTTCGTGCGTGCCAGCTCCATCGTATTATAAGACGTTGTCACATCAAAAAATTTACATTACGTTGCAATCGCGGGTAGCCTCGATAGATTATTCTGGCTGCAGAGCTGGGAGAACCTGCTAGCACTGCCAAAGCAAGTGCTTCGTTGCATGTACCACCGATCGGAGTAGGTAAAGTATATTCCTATACCTATTACCATTTAGACAGGCTAACCGACGCAGACGATCGCCGGTCCCGTAAACCTTGGGATTGTGGGATTGTGGGGTTTGGGGGTCGAATTTGCGTTGGCTAAGAGTTCCCCGTCAGCCGCGCCTTTTCAGAACTATATCTCAGTCGCTTGGGTAAAAAAGGATTGGGTTGTTTAGTGAATTCACTCCTGCACATATACAAGACCCCTACACTTGTAGTTGTGATCCGGCACTACTAATGCCCGTCACAAGAGGCCCATCGTCTCACATTACATTAAACAGATATAGTTAGATACCTCTCTCTCCAAAGCCAAGTGTAATTCAATCACATCAGTGAAGCTCGATCCGAATATCCGATATATCACATTTAGTTCTACCTCTAGTTTTTTAATGGATCCGCTATACTCACACAGGAAAATTTGGGTGTTAATATACGGATTACTAATATTATCCCAATTTAATTATCCAAATTCCAGATAAAAAAAGCAACGTTTCTCGATCACGAGATGCGGATTCGCAATTGGGCGATATACATAAGTATATTATTATGTACGTATGTATATTTCAAGAACTCCATGCATTTGTATCGAGCGATATGAGTCTGCTGTACCACGACTTAGCAAATAGCTTTGACAATGAAAGAATAATATTTTGCCTATTTCATATGCTATGCCTATTTTCTGCCGTGAAGCAGTCATGCGTTTCGGTTTGAAAGGTAGAGCAGCCGTTGTAGATATACTGAGACCTTAGTACGTATATGTCAAGGTGGGTGGCACATTTACGTTGTTGATGTCTATGGGCTCCAGTAACCATTTAACACCAGATGGGCTGTGAGCTCGGCCACCCATCTAAGCAATAAAAGAAGCTTCTATTATCGCAATGGAAAGCTTCAAATATATCAATAATATTCAAATATTTGTAATTTCTGTGGGTAGTCTGTGAATTGGGCTGCCATTGTCCATTTCTAATGAGAATAAGTCTTGCCTTCCCGTTTGAACATTTGCCTACAATACAAACTGAGGCTTCGATAACAAGATTCAAAGCGGCTTCCACATTATAATATCTAATGATAACCTAAGTGATCATCATCAGACACCGAGTGGACGACAAAATCGCCTACTCACACTGTTGAATAAAAAAACGAATTACTGTATATTACGTAAACGTACATATTTAAGTAATTATTTAAAAATACCACTCGCAATTAAAACGATGCTCTAATTAGTTGAGCGGTTCAGAAATATAAAAATGCTACATTTCTTTAAAATCGCTTACATTTTTCCGAATTTTCTTTGTTTCCTCTAAAAGAAGCCCTGCGGGCTGACGCTGTACCCGACTTTTGGTCGAAAGTTTCTTTGATGTAATTATAAATGGGACTAGAAAGGCTTGGGGCAAACAAAGGAGAACAGAGATTCATAACAAAAATACCAAGAAATTTGGTTTGGGAAAGTAAATTTGGACAAGGGACTATGACGGCCCTTGTTTTGATGCTGTGTATATTTTGGTAGATTCATAAGCCCCGGAAAAAGCTTAACTCGGAAGGTTTGAAGTTGGCCCGACAACTTTGCTGCTTAATCAAACCGAATGGGCCAAAGCCACTAAGTGTCTCGTCGGATCTTTTCAGTAGGTCACGATTCCGATCCGGTGGTAGACTCTGCGAAGCGCTGCTCTTGCTAGGGCTAGTGTTAGCAAATTCTCTGAGGTTGAACCTGTGAGCTTACCTATCCGTCCGGGCGTAGCTGGAATAGCCCCTTAGGCTGGAGTTGACACCTCTTTTTCTTCCCTACCAAAGGAATAGGTAGGGAATAAAAAAAAACAAGATGTGTGAAAGATTAGCTAACTGCACGAGCGTCTCCAAAGGCCTAACATCTGAAAGGTAACTGCTTCGCGACTACATCTACCAGCGGAATCACGACCCATTGGGGTATCCGGTGAGGAACTAAGCGGGCTGATGCCACGGGCTGGAGTCACTATACTTCGACGGTGACGTGACTTTTTGGTTTCTCCATTTTCTGTTAAAAATATACCTTACCAGCTTGTCATCTATATTAATATTATAAAGTTGAAGAGTTTGTTTGTTTCAAAATTCTTTCAGTGTTAGATAACCCATTTATTGAGGAAGGCTATAAGGCTATATAACATCACGGTAAGGGCAATACAAGTGGAGCCCCAATAAATAATGTTTCAAAATAGGGGTTTAAATAGCTCCTTAACATTCTATAATTCAACAATATTTGTACAACAATATAAGTGGGGGGTAAAATTTAGCGTTATGCCAAAGTAGCTATTACACGCGGACGGAGTCGCGGGCAAAAACTAGTATGTTTCATAATACGTTACGTAATATGAAGATTATAAGAGAAAATGAATACTGGTAGTGTTTTTTCTATTACAATAAACACAAATAATAATATATTTCGATCGAAAAATTCATAATCTAAAATAGCTTAACAGAAACGATGACGTCAGTGAAAACTTTCACATCCTATTGTACTGATAAGATATAAAAATACAGCGCAAAGATATGTACCTAAGTCTGATATGGCCTGAAAACTCTAAGCACGCCGATAATGATGACCTATTGTTATCTAGATCAGTCGCTGGAATTTTCAAACTTCTTACAATTCACAGAAGAACGCTTCGAAACAATTGGTCGTATATACATACATAATATACATATATATATAGCTTAATCGTTTTGATTCTGAGATATATGCAGACACGTGACGATTAGCTGCTTGCCTACTTATTTATTGTGCTATTCAATAAAATTAGGTACCATTAGTGGAACAGTCACTTTGTCAATGCATCAAATAAGCCTATAAAAACTCGGTACATACTCGGCGGTGATAATTTTGATTATACGTTTTGAAAATTAATTTGAAATATGATTGTAAAAACGAAAATTGAGTAAAGCACTTTTGATGCTAATAGTACTAATTACAAATTTCAACCCACAGACACAGCCCACTAAGTTTCTCGCCGGATCTTTTCAGTGGGTCGCGCTTCCGATCCGGTGGTAGATTCTGCGAAGCACTGCTCTTGCTAGGGCCAGTGTTAGCACCACTCCGGTTTGAGCCCCGTGAGCTCACCTACACGTAAAGGTAAAGCTGAAATAGCCTCTCAAGACTATCAGCATAGGTAGGGAAAAAAAGAAATTCAAATTTCAAAAGTAACTGTGGCCTAGGGGCGGAATGCATGTACTCCTGACCATGCTGATGTCCATCTGAAAAGTGATAACTGGAACACGTGAAGATCACGGTTTAAATGTTGCTGCCCATCTTGAGACTTGAAGATTGCATCACTGCAGAAATAGGCAGGGTGGTGGTACCTACCCGCGTGGACTCACAAGAGGCCCTACCACCAGTAAAGATTCAGCGAAGCAGTGCTCTTGCTAGAGCTAGTATTAGCAAATACTCTCAGGTTGGGCCCGTGAGCTCACCTACCGGTCCGCGTGAAGTTAACCCTTTAGGCTAAAAAAGATTCGGTAGCAAAAAAATGTACTACTTTCATATTTTCGAAATTAACCATCGAGACATTCATTAACTGTCCGTGTGCCGACGATAAAACAATCGCTCGCTGTTAAATTATTGATTTTCATATGGGGGAGGCAAACGACAATGAAAAGTTTCAGGTGTGTGTGGATTGGAAATATATTTTTTTCGATTTGATGAATGTAAAAAAGGTTCTATAGTAACGTGTCATTATTATTTTTTTAACTTACTTATAATTAATTCTCTCTGACATAAACAATTCACTATTTATGACGTGCGTGATAGAATTTTCTGGGTGCTTCGACGATTCACCTGTCGCTTTATTGTTCCCGGTGAAAATAGGCATCACAACTTGAATTTTTTTTTTTTTATTGCTTCGCTGTGTGGACGAGCTCACAGCCCACCTGATGTTAAGTGGTTACTGGAGCCCATATACAGCTACAACGTAAATGCGCCACACACCTTGAGATATAGTTCTAAGGTCTCAGTATAGTCACAACGGCTGCCCCACCCTTCAAACCGAAACGCATTACTGCTTCACGGCAGAAATAGACGGGGCGGTGGTACCTATCCGTGCGGACTCACAAGAGGTCCTACCACCAGTAATTACGCAAATTATAATTTTGCGGGTTTCATTTTTATTACACGATGTTATTCCTTCACCGTGGAAGTCAATCGTGAACATTTGTTGAGTACGTATTTCATTAGAAAAATTGGTACCCGCCTGTGGGATTCGAACACCGGTGCATCGCTTCAACACGAATGCACCGGACGTCTTATCCGTTAGGCCACAACGACTTCAACTTGAATGCAACCAACCATCCACTTTAAGACATGGACCGTCGAATTAATCTAGTAGAATAACTGCCTAGCCAATAAACCGGCAGACTGCTATTTCGCGGATTATGAATTTTACATAATTTATTAAAATACCATTTTTAACAAACACTACTAATAAATAGATCGCCGCTGATGGCGATGTCTACGAGCAGTGATAATAATAATGATAGCGCTAAGTTTTGAAACTAACCTGCATCTCTGGTGGTCCGCCTTCATCTCTGATCAGCAGGAGATAGCTGTGACCGTCTATGATGACTTCCTTCTTGAAGCGACCTCCTAGAAAAGAAATCGTACTAATTTGGTGCTGCAAATAAGCGTTTTATAATTATTATTTTTGATTGCCCTTGTAGGCAGTCGAGCATACAGCCCACCTGATGGTGAGTGGTTACCGTCGCCCATGGACTTCAGCAATACCAAGGGCAGAACCAAGCCGCTACCTACCGCTTAATACTCTCCACAAGCCTCGTTTGAAGAAGGAAATGTCATAGCGCTCGGAAAAACACCGTGGAGGGGAGCTCATTCCATAGCCGGATGGCAAAAAAGACCTCTGGAAACGCACTGTGGATGACCGCAGTGGCTCCAAGTAGTATGGATGAACTCTACTCTAGTGGCGGGCGGTGTAATGGTAAAAACGAGATGCCGGTATCATCTCGAACAGTTCCTCAGAGCATATTATGTTCTAGCGACCGGGTAGGCTTCGCTTCGGGAACTGTAGTTTATTATTGATCCTAATGAATTATCTTTTATACAAATCTGGTTCTGACAGTAACAAACACAATAAATAAAAAATGTAACAAACAAAAAATCTAATCGTTCCTGTTCTTAAATTCCATTCACAATTTGGGGGATAACTGATATACACATTAAAGATAGATATATGCTTTCGCAGTCTTTTTTGTAGGACTGTTTAAGATAAAAATTTCCATTTTACATTATATACGTGTGATTCCAACAGTTTTTGCGGCGTACGCCAGATCGCCTCGCAGATAGTTGATTTTTTTCTACTTACTGGACGCTTATTGTTATCTTATACCTTTAAACGAGCAATTCTTGTATATATATATATATATCTGAATCTGGGAAACGGCTCCAACGATTTTCATAAAATTTAGTATACAGGGGATTTCGGGGGCGATAAATCGATCTAGCTACGATTTATTTTCAGAAAATGTTGTTTTATTCGTATTTTCAATAATCAACTCTTCCCGAGATGTATTGGCGCGTAATAATACAATTTTTCTTAATTGAGGGCAACTAACCGCTTTAAAGACAAAAGATGGCGTTATCAAAAAAAAAAACAGAGCAAAGCTCGGTCATCATCTAGTTAAGTAATTACCACTATAACTTTATAAATTATAGCCTAAATGTTATTTTTCATGTAAATCCATTCGGTAGTTTTTGCGTGAAAGAATAACAAACATATGTCCATACACTCTTACAAACTTTCGCGTTTATAATATTAGTGTGATGTAAGATATTCTTGAATGGCACCGGTGGGAGGGTTAGTCAACTGCCTTAGAGTTGACTTACCAGGGTCCGTGGACACTGACGTTTGGACTTCAACAGTGCTGGTGGCACAATCAGTCCACCGAGCACTGCCAAGTCAATCCTCCTCGAAAAAAAAAACCAACTTTCACTAGCTTGACCTATTTACATTTACCGAACCTTTCAATGTAATTTTCACCATCATCAAGACGTTGGATAACCTCAAAAATTCGTCCACATATCAAGGACCGGTGATAACATTGCAACAATTTTATTAATTTGGCAGAACATCCTAATTTATTAAAATAAAATTATTTCACCCTTTTGTCCAGTTTAATTCTTTTAAAAATAAATTTCTATATTTCTTAAATTTAGAGTCTCTTCTCTTTGCGATGCGATCTTTTTAGGATTCATTAGAACCCTCACAAAGGCAATAAAGCATATAACCGTCAACTTAATTTTTTTCTTTATCATAGCTATTATTTAGTAACATCATATTTAAATAATAAGAATAGACAAATCACTTAAAATAAAAGACCATAACAATTATTTTTTCTAATTCAATTTATCTTAAATAAAAGTCCACGGCAATAAACATCAGCCATGTCTCAATATTGTTCAAATGCCCGAGCGAAGGTAAATATTAAAATTAACACAAAATCCTACATTTTATTACTGCTATTAATGTTTGTTTAGTGACAGTCTCAAATACAGGTGAACAAGTTTGTCTAGTTTGTGTGAATACGCATTTGGCTCATCGAACGTCAAATAAACGTATCAGATACAAAACCCACGCACAAATATTGTAAAGCTGACGTCTATCAACGGGGCTCAATAAGGTCGATGAACCTAGATAATATTTGTTACTTAAAAAATATTCTTGTGCCATCTGTTGGGCGTGCTTAAATATGTTGTGGAGTAGAGCGCCATCTAGTGTTCCCTTTCGATAGCATTAAAGCTGGTTTAACGCCATCTAGCGATAAGCAGTGAAACAAATGCTCGTCAAATTTTAGTTCTACACATTTTGGGTAGATGGCAGTAATATAAAATTTTCTTAAAGTATAAACTAAGTTAATTGAAAAAATAGTACCTTCAGGGCTTTCCTCTTGCATGTAAGCTCCAGTTAGGTATCGATGCACTAAGGCTGATTTTCCACTATCGGGTGATCCCAAAACACCGACTCTTAACTCCGTGACGCCCCTTGCTGCCGTCCATTCTTGACTGTTTACAAAAGAATCTGAAAAGAAGCGAAGTGAATTAAATTACGTTCACCAATTTAACAACCAAATTAAAGCATATTAGATTGCGATTGATTATAACTGGAATGATTTGATCAAAATGTTCTATTAATAGATTAAATCACATTAGATTAAATATTTTAGTTATTAAAACTGTTAATAGATGGCAATAGATGGCGCTAGCAGTTATTGTTTTAAATACAAGATGATTTATTAAAATCGGCTGCTACGCTCAGTACACGTGCTGAGTGCAACTAGTGTAGCAAGACTTCAGTATAAAAAACTAAAACTTCTTTACCTATAAAAAATATACAAAAGTAAATTATTTATCATATTGATGTTCGGAATATCAAAAGACAAACTTTTAAATACCTAGGTAACATAATTTTTTTTTTTATTTCTCAATGCATTTTTTAGTCTTTTTGTATTATTTATTATGTTGATTAGTCTACATATATGCAGAATTTTGTATTTTTAGTGTAGAAAACGTGTTTATGGCCAAACTTTGTATGGTTTCTGCTAAAATAATCGTTTTACGTAATGTTGCTAGCGTTTATTGAAAAAACGCGTTGAGCGTCGGACAAAGAATGCGTAACAATCCTTCGTACTTCGTTGAACGATAAAGCACGAATTTAGGTGGGTGGCGCATTTAAATTGTAGATGTCTATGGGCTTCAGTAACCACTTAACACCAGGTGAGCTGTGAGCTCGTCCACCCATGTAAGCAACAAAAAAGAAAATTAGACACAGCTGACATTTTATTTCCAATTCGGTTCTAATAATAATATACCTAACTCTTTATTTAACACCACATGTACAGAGTAGACAACAAATAATAGACGGTGACATAAATTGGCGGCCTTATCGCTGAAAGCGGTCTCTTCCAGGCAACCTTGCAGGGAGAGGAATAAGCAAACTAGCATGGACGGTGTTTTCCCTACTAATATATAAATGTGAATGTAAGTTTGTTTGTTACGCTTTCACGCGAAAACTACTCAACCGATCATCATGAAACTTTGTACACATATTCTTGGAGGTAAGGTAGAAGTAACATAGGATACTTTTTATTAAGAAAAAAAAAATTATTTTTTACGAAAAATAAAAAAATTCTCAAAAAATCTCAAAATCTAGCTTCTTCAACGCCATCTACCGGTTCAGTAATGAAGTTGCAATCCTGAGTACTGTAATACCGTTGCACTGTATTACCGACGGTCACGTCAATGTCCAATCCAATTGACTATAGTTTTAGCTGTTTGGGATTTTTCGCGCTAATCTCAGTAACTACTGGTCCGATTAGAAAAAATCGTTCAGTGTTAAATAGCCCATTTATTGAGAAAGTCTATTATAGACTATATAACATCACGGTAAGGCCATTACAAGTGGAGCACCAATAAATAATGTTTCAAAATAGGGGTTTAAATAGCTCCTTTATTAACACTCTATAATTCAAAAATATTTTCATTTTCTACGAAAATGAATTGGCGGTAAAATTTAGCGTTATGCCAAAGTAACTATTCCACGCGGACGGAGTCGCGGGCAAAAACTAGTATCTTAATAAACTTACATAAAAATACTTCTAAGATGAATAATTTAAAAAAATCGTTAAATTCGATACATAATAAAGAGGCCATAATTATATCTTTAAATAATAGAGAGCTAGAAATAAAAAGCCTCCGCCGATAAGAGTAATAATGCTAATATATCTACAATGGTGAATTTAGACATTTAACATCCAAATGCCGCAAAGATACAACACTGGTGGTAGTACTATTTCTGCCATGAAGCAGTAATACGGTTTGAAGGTTGGGTCAGCCGTACTGAAAACTGAGATTTAGAACTCATGTCTGAAGGTGGGCAGTGGCATTGACATGGTTCATGTCTGTAGGCTCCAATTACCGCTATTGTTAACAATGAAAATTAAAGTTTAAAAACAATCCAGGTAGGAACAAATAGCACCTAGTTCTCGGACGTCAATTATGTCCATTGATTTATTTTACTGTCAACTGTCCGTCCCTTCAAACCGGAATGCAATACTGCTACGCGGTAGAAATTGGCAACGTGATGTACTTTAACTTTTCCTTATTTACTAGTTTACGTGCAAGCTATATACACCTGTATGTAAATAATTTCATATTTACGATTCCGAAACATTCAATAAACTCTCTATATTGAAATGGTCGATGAGTGACCAATAAATAGTCAATCATAAAACGTTATTTCCGAAGACACAAAATTTTCTGAAACTTTCGAGTGAAAAAAACCTTTTGAGAAGTTAGCACGTGCTCGCCGCTCTGCACAATGGAACTCGTCATTTGTCACAGTCCAGCGCGTTAGGAACGGGCCATTAAACCAGCGAGATAATTTATTTTATTTTATTTTAAGCTTACCACAGCCCGCTTTTTTTCCCTACCTAAGTTGTTAGCCTTGAGCGGCTATTTCAGCGTAGCCTTAACTAGTAGGTGAGCTCACGGGGCTCAAACCGGAGTGTTTCTAACACTGACCCCAGCAAGAGCAGTGCTTCGCAGAATCTACCACCGGATCGGAAACGCGACCCACTGAGAAGATTCAGCGAGAAACTCTGTGAGCGGTGTCTATGGGTAAGCCCACTATGTAATGACAGATGTCACGTCTCAACTGGACGATAGTATCATAGTTCTCATATTGTACAACAGTAGGTAACTTAATGCATGGATAATGAAAAACTCTTGATCTACCAACAGAAAGTACTGAGACTTCTAAGAGTATGAAATGAAATGAATAAAGTCTTTAGCGATTCACATGATTATCCACTGTTGAATTTTATTAAGCTCTTTTGATATTTTTACGTCAAGGTACGTTGTCGCTTACTGTGTAAATCAGTGCGGAAAAATCTGCCGATTTGACTCGCCATGGCTTGGCAGTTTTGTTTTGCTGTTAGATTTGTTAGAAATGTAAAAAAATCTAATTGTTAAAGGTTGTTTACTTAAGATGCTGTTTGTGAGATGATAGTTATTTTCTTACAATATTTCACGTCTGCTTTTACAATACATATACAAAGCTTAAAGTGTGTTTCTTTTTTAGTCTGCATGGGAGATGCAAAAACAACATACCCGATAGAGACAGCCCATAGTTTCTCACCGGAATTCGGTGGTAGATTCTGCAAAGCACAACTCTTGGGTTTGGCTTGGATCAACCGGTCACCGTCCTCGCCGAACCCGTCGCTTGCGACGAAGGGCTCGACGAGCGAATTAACCCACAGACACAGCCCACTGAGTTTCTCGCCGGATCTTCTCAGTGGGTCGCGCTTCCGATCCGGTGGTAGATTCTGCGAAGCACTGCTCTTGCTAGGGCGGTGTTAGCAATTCTCCGGTTTGAGCCCCGCGAGCTCACCTACNTCCCCATAATTTTCATACCCCGGGCCTATATATGTAAATCGATTCTAAAGGAGTAAACTCCAAAAAAAAAAGCTTGGACTAGTGTAAGCAAATTCTCTCAGGTTGAGCCCGTGATCTCACCTACCCTATAGCCCCTTAGAATAGTCCTTTAGACTACCAGCGAATAGATATTTTGAAGTATTTTAACTATAAATTTAGATTTAGAACTTCTCGTGTCTCGACGATATTTTTCAACTATTTCTTTTTCTATTCTAAATCGCCGTCAGCACGGCCTTAGTGGCCAACATCGAGACGTCACGACTCCGATTGCGACACCTACCGAAGCGAAACGTAAAATATCATCCGTAGCAAAACGAACCGAGTGACAGTCTAAAGAACAACAAAAGCCAACTTCAGTATCGCAAGGAATTGGGAACTACAGTGATTGTTTTAATTACATTTTTTTCCCCAAAGTTATTAAGTTTAAAATCTAAGCTCCGACTTAGAATGGCTTCGGGTCATTGTCAAACGATATTGATATTGACCTCAAAAAATTTACAAGGGGAAATTACAAATCAATCAAAACAGAATTTAGTAAACTATTGCAGTCTGTGTATTATTTCCTTTCCGGTGGAAGCGTAGTTTACAAACTTACAGCACTAAAATAGTTGGGAAGTTATTAAGGTAACAAAAAATGCTCTGAAAGATTGGTGGCGTTAAATCGTGCCTTCATATTCATTCGTCAAAATAACTCGAATCTACGGAATAAATCACGAGACCAGACATCCTCAATACGAAACAAACACATTTTAAAAATACAATAGATGAAACTTCGTGTAAGTCTATAAAATAAATGGCTCCGTAATTCAAGTTGAAAATTTGAATACACGCAAAACCCTAAATGCCCTTTGAAACGCGCAAACAGTGTAATAATCGAGTTCTTAAATGAATAAGAGACAATTTACAATGTGAGCCTGTAATGTCATGTTCAATAAAACATGTCAAATGTGGATCGGTCGTAAAAAAAAGTGTTCCGAATGGATTTAAAGAACGCCGCTTTTGTATCAAACGTTTATTATAACTAGAGGTCCCGCAGTAGTCGAAATTCGACTATAATTAATTGGAATCGTATAATAGGTTTTTACACTATTATAATTGTATTTTATACTTCTATAATCACAAATTTTGCCAAAGCTACACTATGAAAAAATATTAATAAAGACAAACAATATTTAATGTATTCTCAATTTGACCACAGACGTCAAGAACAAAAGTTTGACAATTAATAGCATGCGTGTGTGCGTCAAATAGATGGTATCTAGTGTGTGTAATGTTTTCTTTATTGATTTAATGTATCTTTTATGCATTATTTTAAAAAAAAATATTAGCATTGTGCACTTCTTCTCTATATTCTCTATAAGTGTGAAAAATTTCATACTCCTCCGTCCGCGCAATTTTTGTAAAAAGGCATACAAAGTTTTTGCTTCACGTATTAATATATAGATAATTTATTTTTACTTACGTATATTCCGTAGAGCACTCAACTGTAAGCTTTGAGTTAGTTTATATAAAACTTAAATGTTGCACGACGGAAATTGTTAATACGGCAAAGTACTGTGAGCAACGCATCTATATGATTGGTTGCGA